AAAGAAAGAAAGAAAGAAAGAAAGAAAGAAAGAAAGAAAGAAAGAAAGAAAGAAAGAAAACAAGCCAAACAAGATAGAAAGTGAATTTCCAATACAAAAGCACAAAGGATGCATGGTAAAGGTGAAAAGGAAGAATCCCTCTACCTTTTGGAAAAGTGTGTTGAAAGGCAAAGTGTGCCCAACACATGTCAAGCCCCTCCATCCTTTCATACAGTGGTGGGGAGAACAACCTTGTACTTACGGCTTTTACTAACAGGACATCATCCTTCTTCCTTGAGCCATTCAGATCCTCTAGCAGGCTACCAGATAAGTGGAGTAAGGCAGGCGAAAACCTAGCGCTCAAGGTACATCCCACAACCATCCTAGATTTTGGGACTAGGCAGGGTACTTACTGGTGGGTAAGGTGATGCTCAGAATAGAGGCTTTGCTCTAGCACTTCCCATTCCAGGAACACAGGCAAGCAACACCTCTTGGCTCAAGTTGCTATGAATGTGCCTAGCCTCAAAAACAGCTTGAATTTCACCGGATTCTCAGCAATTCCTCAAAGCTTGATATTTGCTATAGTATAGATCTCAAAAGTCCCCCAAAGCCCATATGCTAAAGGGTGGCTCACCAGCCAGTGGCACTTTTGGGAGGCACTGGAACCTTTAGCAGGTGATGTGTAGTGGATGGCAGCTAAGTCTTCAAGGTTGTGCCCTTAAAGGGGAAGATGGGACTCTGGTCCCTTCCTCTTCCTCTCTTTGCTTCTCAATCATCAAGTGTTTATATGTATATACAAGGATAGCTGGTATAGGTGTATTGCTGATGTCTGTGGTTTATTGAAAGGAACAGTCAATGCTTAAAATTTTCTTTTTTCTTGATCAATTTTGCACACTTGAATTTGGTAATCAGAATGACTGATCTGAAAACAATACCCAGTATAAGAACCATTGTTGAACTCCTACCATCTTGTATGGTGAAGCTCTGCATCATTTCCAATATTTTATTATTATTATTATTACTTGTTACTGTCTTTGATTGTTTGATCAGTCTTACATTCTTATGTCTGGTGGACTGAGCAACTTCTTTGAAGATAACAGTATGTAATGTAGCAACCATTAATTTCTAGCATTTTGCTTTGAGGTCATGTATCATTTTTGTTGTTTTTGTGTTGTTTTGATTTCATCTTGATTGTTGTTTTCTTTTTTTAATTTTTAAAATAAAAAAGAAGTGAATAGCTTCACTGCTACAAACACCTCACCTATGTCCTATCTCACCACAGCCCAAAGCAACAGGGTCAAGGGGCCATGGCCTGAAACTGTGAGCCAAAGCAAAGTTTTCTTCCATTTAAATTGTTATTTCTGGTATTTTGCTACAGCAACGGAATGCTGACTAATGCAATATCAAATCAATGAAGCTCCTCAGGATCACTGTTCTCAATCAAAATCAAGTTAAAAGTTGAATGCAGGGATCTATGTTCTGAAGTATAAACAGGCATCAGAACCTGCTTCCTCCAGCTTACCCAAAGATCTCTCTTTTGTCTGGTTGGTTGACCTCACCACGGGAAGGCTTGCTCGAGTCCGGCTCCCTCTGGAGAAAGGACTTGGTACTTCGCTCTCAGACATGGCTTCCAAAGAATCCCCAGATGTCTCTGATAAATGCTCAGCTGGGTCACCCAAATTAGGAGGTTGAGGACTGTGAGACAGTTTGGGGCTTCTGGTCTGCAAAAGATATTTTAAAGAAAGTGAGAAAATAGAATCATTCATCATGCTGAAAATATTTTCAATGGCATCTCTGCCCATCTGAAAAAAAATAATATAATCAAGGGGGAAAATTCCACCAAAAGGATTGAATAGGGAAAAATGAAGACCCAGTGGGTAAGTATCAGTTGTAAAAATTACTGGAAAAAAATTGGCTGAGTATTCCATTAAGATTTTTATTTTTTAATCACTGAACATCTACCATATGAGTGCCATTTCAAGCAAGGAGTTCAGGACTAGCACACATTACAGGAAAGAATGACAGCAAATCAATTTCTTTTGCCAGACAAATTCTCATAGTTGTTATCCCAACAGATGGGATTCTGCACATTTCTCTACACCCAACATAGACTGTGTCGTCACACCAGAGTAAATTGAATACAACCAGTCTTTTACAGTCTTATGTCAGACTGATTCCAAAATCAGTAAACTAAGCAGTTGAAAGGAAATACGTATGTTTCTGTTGAATATTTCTATTTTGAAGCAGAAATCCTGTAAGATTATATCTAGCTTTGGTTATTACCTTGCTAATAGACAAAAGTATCTATAATAACTTAAGCCATTCACAAAACAGCTAACTGAATTCCCCCACCTCCACTTATTGATGTGGTAATGGCAGTGGCTGAATGTGTAAAATCCTTCTAATCTGTTAGTCAGTAATATTCTTTGACATGAACTATGTACAGGGTGAACGTTGAGGGAGATTCCCAAAAACAGACATGTTGGCTAATATCAAAGTTTCTAAACTGTGAGATTTATGTAGAACAAATAACATGAGATAATGTATGATTAAAGTGTAAGCCATGAATTGTGTAGTATATGCTTCCATTCACACAGTCACCCCACGTTGGGTGCCAAATATAGAGAGCCCTTCCCAGTCCTCCTCATGGCCCAGAAAGTTTATATTTGTAAACCCATGAAAAGTTATTGGAATTTTAGCAAATTAATTCCAATATACCACTTCCAGTGCAACCATGGCGAGAATAAAGACACTAAGGCATATTTGTAGTTATGGGGAGTCAAGGGGTCCTAAATCCAGCCATGATGATGGCTATCCAGAACAAAGACCTTGACCCAAGGCCAAACCCAGTTTTTATTCATTTGTGAAGAAGGGAGTAGTTTGAGGATGGGTGGCTATGAGAGTGGTGGGAAATACGTGAGTGCCATGAGCTGGGCTAGGTAGGAGGCCTGAAATCACCCCTGCCATATGCAGAGAGAAGGATATGCAGAAAGAGTAATCTTATGACACATCTGAGATAGTATCTAATGTTTTGGGGTTGGTGCTTCAGCTCTGATGAGTAATCTTTGAAGCCCCAGGAAGTCACAGCGTCTATTCCTGAGGCTCAATCCCAGTCTCCCAGCCTCCTAGCTGACAGAGTAGAGCACTGGCTCACACATCTGCCTCATCTCAGCTCACTGGAGGGAGCAATGGGGGCTCTGAGGAAACACGCCTGCCATCTCCAAAGGCTCCCACCAGCACCTTGGCTAGACCGATATGCATTGCTTAAAGCCAACTGAAGGGATAAAGAAAAGTCCTAGCCAGTTCTGTACACATCAATACATGGAAGTAGGGTCAGGCTCAGCCAAAATGGAGGCAATTGCTCCTCTTTCAAGGAGAGTCACCTAGGTGGTTTTCCATGACCTACTGAGCACCTACTCTTCCAGGTACTGTGCTAGGTACAGAAGAAAGAACAAAGCACAGCACAGACGTGTGCTGCCCTCATAGCATCTGTCACTGAGAAAGGAGACTTACATTAAAGGCAAATTAAAGATGCAACAAGGGTGTGTGGCCTGGACTGGGGTTGAGGGTGGGGTTGTATATAGGTAGAGTCAGAAAAGCACATAACTTTGACCTTAAGGAAGAGGGAAGTTGCAGGGAGAGTGCAATCCAGAGGATAGGGATGAAGAGAAAGGCATTCCAGTTGTGGGGAAGCGCATGTGCAAAGTCCCCAGGGCAGAGACAAGTGGTGAACACTGGAGGTTTGGTAGGGCACAGGCCAGAAGGCCTGCAACCTTGGAACTGTGGTAAGAAGTCTCAATTTAACTTCAAGGCAACAGAACACCACCAAGGTATGCAGACCGGGAAAGGGGTGAGGTTCAGGTAGGATCTGATCTATTTTTTAAACAATTGCTGTGGCTATTGTATGAGATTATACATCTAGAAAGGCAAAGAAAGAATGACAGAAAACTTGGGGAATGAACATTACCTCAGCTTTCCCTTCTCCCCTGACAAATCCCTGACTTGCACTACATGAGTCCAGACACTTCCCACCAGCTAACTGATCTGCAGCTGAGTTTTCTCTTACTGGGATATCCAAGGAGCTAATGGGCTGGTGGTAGGAAGCAGGCAGTTCCCAGGAGCTGGGTTTGTTGGTTAGGTGCAGTTTTTAATTTCCTTTCAACCTTCCCAAGGCTGCCAATGCAGTCTGAAGGGAAGCACTAAGGCACTTATGGGGCCACCTTCCAGGGGGCACAACCAGTGCAGTCACTCAGGGCCCTGCTCTTCAAAGGGGCTGTGCTTGATTTCATGTTCTGCTGTGGTTCACCTGAAATGATATTTTGAACGGGAGAGTGAAAATTATATAGCAAGTCCTGCTGTGAGGCTGTGGCTTCTGCTCTTCTGAAGGATGCTACAAGTTTGCCTTATACTCTGGGAGACCCCTTTGAGGGTGAGGTGATCAGTTTCCTTCCTCTTTCTTGATAAAAGTACAAAGAGACACCTCTGGAGTTGCTACTTGGATTCCTACACTTTGGGACGCCTCTTAGAACCTTCCTATTAAGGGAAACAGGAATAAGGTGTCCCTTAAGGGATGTGGCTTTAGGGAGATGCTTGGATGTTCTGTAGGAAACTCAGCCACTTACAAGCCAATCAGATTACAAACCAAAATTATAGCCAGAAAGGATACTCCTTAATAGGTAAATTGTCCTTTTTTGGTGAATTTTTCCGTGTAAGTTTCTAAACTAGTTTATTCCCAGGTTTATTTTTCATAGAGTCTGCTTCTCTCATGGGAAGCTAGCTTTGGCACTCATTAATAACAACTATTATTTGACTAGGAAAGTCATCCCTAAATCACTGCTTAGCTCACCAAAATTTAGATAAATTCATGTGTTCTTCAATTAAGTAGCTTCCTATTTACTATGCTCAGCAGAATGTCTAGTTAAGATGTTCCCATTCCTAACTTCAAAAAAAAAATGAGACTTTTAGTTTAGAAGACGTTCAAGAAATAATATTCCTTGAAGCAATGTGGCTTCATTTGCTACCTTTGCTGTTTGGTCCCGCCTATGGCAGACGCATTACATTTGATGAGCTATCATTTTCCATTGCAAAAGGCAATAATCCTTGAAGAAAATAAAAACTGAACCTCTGTTTCTTGTCTGAGGTCATTATGGTGGTAGGTAGGTATAAAAATAGAAATATAAGGGCTAATCTTATCCTTCCTGACTTCCTATACATAGTTATTCAGTTCCAAATATGCACACCTCTTGTTTTTTATGTCATTCACTTTCTCATTGAAAACAATCACTGCATATCAACAATCTCCTCACGGGGTCCCCCCCCTCTGAGGCCAGCCTGCTGCTGAGATATCATTCATTGCAGAGAAATGACATTGGAAATTCCTGACACTAGTGTCAGATACCCTGTGATCTGACACACTGAGAGAAAGGGCAACTGAGGGATAGGCAATTGCGGCACCAAGTACTATGCATGGTTCTTGAGCTCATAAGGCATGTAAGGTGTATTTTGGGGTAAAGCTAAGTGTTTAATACAAAATACAGTTAATGGAAGTGGAACACACTACTTACCCCATCATTTTTGCAACTTCCTGAGGCAGTTCTCAAAGTCCTCTTTCATGAGCACCTTCGTTGTGCTGTTGTGACTGCCTCCGTGTGTTGAACTGATTCAAAACTTTTACTTTTCATGGTCATTTTGACCAGAGTCAGACAATGGCAGATCAGGTGAATAAGGTGGGTGAGCACACACTGTCATGTTTTCTTTAGAAATTGCTGTAAACGTTTTGAATCAACTCAGGACACTGAGACAGCCAAGAAAAGACACGAAAGAGGACTTTCAGAATTGCTTTGGGAAAAGACAAGGATGATGGGATATGTGTGTTCAAAGCAAGCGGAAGTATTTTGAGGGGGGATTCACAGCGATGTCTTTAAATCATTTTTAAAAGTTAAATAATCACCCCAGCTTTAATCACACTACATATGTGTCCACTGTCAGATGAGCGGATCTGATTTATTCTAATTTTTTGCAATGCTAAAATTCTTAAAATATTCTTATTTTTTGCAATACATTCACTATTATTATTCATCCATTACAACTGGACGAGAAGAGGTAAGGGCATGTCACTGCGATAACGAAGGGGATTGGGGGACCAACAGCTGGCATGAATGCAATCATCATGTACTGCAAACATATATTAATAAAAATAAATTTTTTTTTAAAAGGGCAGCGGCCAGAGGAGACAGGGCTCAGGCAAGGGAGGTCCTGACTGGCTTTTCTGAGCTGAACAGTGACATCTACGGTTTCCGCTGGTTGGAGAAGAAGTTGCTACCAGATCTTAGCTGGACCAATCAAATTCTTTCCTCTGGAAACACTGACCTGGACAGAGATAGAAGGGTAAGGTCACTTGAAGCTGGCCTAAAGTGGTCAAGGGAAGTGCAGCAGCAACAGCCCAGCAAGAACAGACAGAGCAGATCTGCACAGGAACGTGGAAAGGGCAGACCCCCGACTCTAGTGAGACGACAAGAGAAGCAGCTTCTGGGCTTGCCATTTTGTTTCCAGACCACTGTGAGGCCTTGTCGCTAATTTCCTCAATTAGTTCCACCTTTGTTCCTACCTTAATTGGCGATGACTCCATGCCTTGCAAATGAACTATCCCTGACAAACACCAATTCTAATTGTTCCTTCTCTCCAGGCTGCTATGGTGCTCATAATTTGAGTAATAACCATG